TGAGGTAACCAAGGTGGTAATAATTTAAATTTAGGAGTCCGTTTCCTGCACAGTCAATGGAGTGATGCAGAAACTGTCTGAACAGGAATTGAATACACTAGTTGGAAGCACTGGTGCGTTAGAGATCTGGGCCATACAAGTGTTCTATTTAGCCAGTGGCAGAGTCCAGGAACCTCTGAGTACCCTTGCTAATGCTTCACCAGGGACAGCACTGAGCTGGGCTACACAGCACGGAAGTTTTAGTTGCGTGTCATATATGAACAGCACAAACAGTAGCAACAAAACCTATAAATTGGAGCTGTGCCCAAACCCCGTCCTGATAAACTGCCCATACAGGCATAATTCAGATTACAGTAATAAGAAAACGGATCTGACGCTTCCCTGTAACAAATCCAGACGGGTCTTACTTTAATCCTTTTCAGACACAGTGAGAATGAAGCATTTGTTAATGAGTCAGAATAGAGAGCTGCCTTGTACTACTCAAAACGAAAGATCTCCATTCAGCATATTTCAGTGGTATACGCATTCCCCTGCCATTTCAGTGAATGGTACGTTATATTCAGCCAACACTAAGTAACATTATAGCAGATAAGACACTTGGTGTAGAAAACCTGAGATAATTGACTAATATGGCGGAGCTCTAAAATAATTTTCAACAGACTTAGTCTTGCAGTTCATGTATAATTAGTCCATTTATCATTTTATCTTGAGACAAATACTGAAGTCAGCACTCCGACTTCAAGGGAAAGTGGATACCTAAAGTGAGCGGTTCACATGCTCAGTGAGGCTGAGAAACTTGGACTCAGTTACTAGTCTCAGTCATGCCCCATCTCCTCCTGAAGAATAGCTAAATTATGCTGCCTGACCCCCAGAATACTCCCCCCACCCCAACCTATGATAATGGTAAGACAGAGAATTCATAATTTCTTTGTTTTAATGCTCTCCAGGGTCTAGCAGATGCTTAATGGTTTCATAGCAGTTGAAAAACAGGAACTTCAAATTACTTTGTACTTGTAATCCAGCTAACCTTGATTTTCTCTGTTTATTAGCTTTCCTGATGGATTGTTTGAGTTTCCAGCGTAGCTGAGTTTCAGTACTATCAGGCTTTTCCTCAGTGGGAATTGCAAATGTACATAACTGTTTATGTACTCGTAAGTGAAGTAGCTGAAGCACTCCCCTCCTTCCTCTGAGACTCAGTCATCTTAAGAAGCATCCTTGCTTTCAGAGCATCATGAACTAGCACATTGCTTGGCACATGGTAATGCGCTCACAACCAGCAACTTTCTTACCTCTTTCTAATGCATGTGAAAAATCTGGTGGTTCTTCCTCTTGCTGTAACCAGGTTTTTGTAAAGCACATATAGCTCAGTTACTAACAAATATAACAAAGTGGTCTTGGCTACTACTTTTCCCCCCACTGTATGTGATGGTTTAAGCACGAGAACAGACTGATGTGAGGATGGAGAGGCTACTTTCCTGCTGTGCTTATCATGTATTGTGATGGGTGTCACAAGTTCGATCGACTTTAAAAGAACATGATGATGGAAGAAACTGTAAGCAAGTATTTGAACTGCCCAGCTTATTTCACCCTTCAAGGAGGAACACAAACTCAATTTTGCTTTTCATAATCCTCTTTCAGCACACTGAAGGAGGCTGCAGAGTGAGATGCCTGTGAGAGAGTGATCCTGCTGTCATTGTGGTGTCAAATACAACTCAAATTCTAATCCTAGTGGGGTTACTGCCTGCCCTAGTGCATTGCTGACTGGCAGGAGCATGCAATGGTAGATAAACCAGTCCTTTATAGGTATATACACACAGACACACCAGTTTATGTACTGTTTTTTGCAACAGCATCTACCAAGCTTCTCAAAGCCTCAGATTAGGGTTGGTTTATTTATTTATTTAAGTGCTGGTTAGTGCCGATTGACAGTCCTGTTCTCCCCTTCCCCATAACACCCAGTGTCCCTTCTGTACGTAGCGTGATGCCTTTCAGCAGCAGTGAACTGTTAGATCAGCTCGGCCATCTTGCAGAACTTCACCTTGCTGTTTACTTGGTGAATAGCCATGCCGAGAAATGAGCTGTACCATTCTGGTCAGGCCTCAACTTGAGCTCAGTAGCAGAGGACTTGCCTATTCCATGGTTAGAAGAGACGCAGCATGGTTCGTGGCTCCACAAGCCAAGCAGAAGTCAGGCAAGCACCTCTGTTGCTCTGTGCTCCTGGCAAATGGGTGAAGGCTTGTACATCTCATTGGACTGAGGCTCGGCTTTAATGGACTTGTTTTAAAAAAAATTTATTTCCACCCTTGGAAACACTAGGGCTCTCAATTCCATTCTTTATCCCCGTTTTGCCATCCTGTGTGAATCTCCTGCAGAAACAGCTGACTGAGTTTACTTCAGCATTTACTCCCACGCCGCAGCAGGCACGGCCAGCGCTGCTGCTTCTCCCTCCCCTTTAGGGCAGAGGCACCGACCGGCGCAGACACAGCGTGCGCGGGCCGACGGGCTCTTTCCTGACACACCTTCTATAGTTGTGCTGCTCGGTTATGGCTTTACTTGCAAAACGCTGCTGCCAAACCTCACCTTTACAGTAGCTGAAGTCGGGCAAACGCCTGGTCTCTCTCAGTAGAAGTGCTGGCCATGCCTCTAAGGACAGGTGCAGCTGGAGAAGTCCAGAACGCCCTGCTGTGGCCTTTACTGGAAAGGAGCCAAGCAGCAAACTGGGGAGTAATGTTTCACCTGCCCTGCTAGAGCAGACTGCATTGCTAGTGTCATAGTGAGTGCCGGTCTACCAGCACGTTGGATGTTTCCAAGTGCTCATAACCCTCTTTGCTGTCGCGCTGAAGGCGGCGGTCAGTTGCAGCCTTCCAGACTCTTCTTTCCAACCAGCTGCACATCAGGTAGATGCTGCAGCTGTTTTTCTTCCAGTCAGCTGCTCAGTTAAGCAACAGAGCTGTTGCTTCACAAATACTGTTAATCAAGTAAAAGGCAACTCTAAAGGAATATGGAGAACAGCAGCTCAAGAACTATGCACTAGCGAGTTTTAACTAGTTGCTTAGTTCAGGAAAAGAAAGACTTGTAGCTGGGTGACAAGGGGGAGAGAGAGATAATGGCCAAGTGCGTTCTCTTACAGTTGTCTGCAGACGTATTTTTGTATCAGCAGCAAGCCAAGTCTGCCTCCAGAGGTACAGAAGGAACATTCACTCGCATTTTCCAAGTCCATGAAGTTAAAGCTTGTTTTTACTTTCCAAAAAACATACCTTCACGAAGTCCCTTTCATAAAGGAGAAATGTTTATTACCACCTGCTTTAAAGTACCTTCTTCCCATTTTCTGCTCTAACATGAGAAATCCCTATTTTGTACTTGCTTACTGGTCTCAGTTTGCACAGTTGTTATCAAGTCAAAACCAAGACAGAGAAAGATTTATTTATTTTTTAATCAGACCAAACTTGAGGTACCCTTGAAGGAAGAGCTGTGTTATGTTCCAAGTTCCTGATTACTATAGATTCACCATGCTCCTCGCACTTCCCACGAGGAGAGAGCCCACTTGGTGGTTTTCCTTAAACTGAAAACAAGCTCAGAGAATGAGGAAAATACTAAATCACTATTTTAATATGATAGGAAGCGTGAGGGGATTTTTATTTGGCTTCATTTAAGGACTGCAAAATTGCATCCTCCTTAGCACTTAGGATGAGCCACCGTGAGAACAGTGGAATTTTTACCAAAAGAATTGTAAATGTTTACCAAAAGTTAACCTTAAAACGTTTTAGGAAAGAACATGTTTTACTACTCGCTATACAAGCTGTTTAAATACCATTTCTTATATTAAACCTGGATTTTGTTATATGGGGCAATAGTGAACTTTGTGTTTTACTTACTGTGTCAAGCTGCATTTGGATATAAATTTAAAACTTCTGTACAGAAGTGTTTATGGATTTAAGTAACCTTAAGTGGATTAGTATACTTGTGATCTACTATGTTTTGAAAATCACTATTTATTATCAAGGAAGCATGTTCTGATATTAGCAGATCGAACTGATTCCTGGTCACTACGACTGTAGAACTAGTAGGTCTAATCTCCAATTTGTATTTGTGTTGAGGAAAAATGTTTGACACCCTTTCCTGATATCTTTCTAAGAATTTCTGTCTCTTCAGTCCAACTCCTCAGCAGCTGTTACTGGTCACTTAAGTGAAGCTCTTTTCATTAAGGCTTTACCACAGACAGGCAATTTCAGCCCAGATTCTGTTAAGCCAATCCATTTGCAGCGAGAAACTGCTGATGTGCATGAGGAAGTTCAGTGCACTGGGAGAGAACTGCATCCCTCCCTTAATCCTGGAACTGCTCCTGGCTGAGTATAGCTGTACAGTCTAAGACTCCCACCTGCACCCATAGCAGGCAAACTGTGGACTAACGCAAAAGCACAAAGTACCAAGGCAGCTTTGCCACCCACTGTACATTTTGGTCTAAGGTGTTGCCCAATCCAAACATTTTCAGTACAGCAAAACTACAAGGACACCAGCGTTCCAGATACCCAGGGGCAGCAACGATTTTACAGTGCGTGCAGTTAAGTCCTTATCCTTTGTAAACACAAAATGCGGTTTGGGGCAGATCCCCATCAAAACAATTTCCTTTGCCTATTCCTTTCTCAGGGGAAGGCTGGAAGCAGACTAATTCATGGGGTCTGTGATGTGACATATTCACCCTGCTCTCACCCATCACCTATTCCAGAGCAGACACACTTACCTGAATATAAATGCCTTGTAGAAAGATCAAGTTTAGAGTGCAAAAGGGTTGCTGTTTCCCAAAGATCCTCAGGGAAGACAGCAGTCAGGACTAGGCCAGAAGAGTTAACTTGGCGGGCCAGAATTTGAATGTTAATTCTGTAATACAGCACACAGCTGCTGGTTCAGTCCACAGGACCTTTTGAGCCCTCTGCCTTGGCAAACAGGCAAGAAAGATTTAATTTGTTGTTTGGCAAAACCCATAAAACTCAGCACTCGAGTTTAACTAAAGGGTAGGTTTTTATTCCCCATTAAGACCGTCTCGAGGACATAACTAAACGTTGGAAACCCCACAGAAGGGCACATACAGTGAACGTGGCAAAGTACAATGTGAACAGCCCCAGGGGGTTCAAATAAGGTAGGACCATTAGCTAACCAGAGGAAAGAAAAACAAAACTCAGCTGAAGATGTTGCACTTTCTTCTCCATTTACACTGAAAAAAAAAGTCAAACCCAACAAAATCCTTGTATCTCTAACAATACATTCAGTCCTGGCTAAAGAGTTTAACAAGATGGCAACAGGATGACTATAATACAAAACGTTCACTACTACACTCTGTACACACCTGTTGTCCAAGCCCTCCCCCAAACCCATGTTGTGAGGGTGACCCCGTTATTTGCTCGCTTGCTGGGCCTGCCTGCGGAGGAGGACGTAGATCTTCTCCTTTATCCAGTCTTTATTGTACGGTTGGTATGTCTGAGTATCAGCACGGTAACTAGGGAGGAAAAAAAAGAATGAGTGAATGTTGTATCAGTCTGCCCTGCAGTACGTTACCAGAAGAACTTCACAGACGATTAAGCGTCCTCAAGTGCGTGAGGCAGAAAGTTGGGTACAGAACAAAAGTACTGTCAGAAGCAGATGGGAACTACCACTTACCAAACAGATTTATCCTGTTCCCTAAAAAACAGATGCCCAGCACATCAGGAAGAACCTGAAATAAAACTACATGCTCCAAGGACTACTGAGCGACTGTTCACATTTTAATTCATGAATATAATTACTTGGGGGAGACAACAAATGGAGCACCTTAATATTCTGGAGCTCAGAATGAAGAACAGTTCCACCAGGAAACGATCTAATTTGCTTCAAAAAAACCAAACTGAAAACAAGAACCCACAGACTCACTTTCTTTGCTACTCAGGGATACCTGATAAAAGTAGTCCACTAGCAAGATTTCTTGCTGGGGCCAGAGAACTCAGTTACTCAAGACACTGCTGAACTGAAGCAGAATTAGACTGAAAAATGAAAGCAAATTGCATGAAGTTATCCTGGTAGATTCGTGCCCTCCTTTCCCCCTTAAGTCATTTAACTTGAATGTTTTTTTTGATGAAGATGGTACTTTCAGTGAATGCTTCAAGGACTACTGAAGTCCCGTAAGTCTTGAAATCTTGGTACACATATTTCTAATCAGGTAAGAAGGGTGAGATGGTCACTGGCAAGAAGCTAAGTAAAAATCCAGAGTTAACTCAATCCAGACCAATTTACCATTCTTAGCTAAGGGAAAAACCCTGAGCATACCGTTTCTAAGAAAGCCTTGTTAGTTAAAACCCAGCACAGCTGGTTCAAGGCCATAGGAGGAGTTTCAGCATATATTGCTATAACAGTAGGCGTAGTTCCAGTGCAGTACAAGAAATGCTGGTTTCAGGAAAAGTTACTGATTTCTGCCCCGGCGCCAATTCATTTGTCATGCTACATGCCAGACCAGATCGCAAGGACCTTAGGAATCTCCAGGAACAGAAGACATCTGGCGCACAACGTGCTACGTGTGCCATCTGGTGGAAAACTATAAGCTGAAGTAGAATTTGGCACAACACTGAGTTTACAAGCCTCATTAAGAAAGGCACAAGACTGTAGCAGAAAACAGTTGCTACTTCCTAAAGCAAATAGCTAGCTTCAGCCCGAGAGAGAAACGACACCAAAGTGTGTCCTTCAAACTGCATCAGCCCAGCACTATGACACCTGAAGATCAAACGTGGCAGAATGTCTAGGGACAAGGTAACTGCAGAAACTGTAAACCTGTTTTACTTATTCTACTGAAAACTCTGGTAAATGGCATTTGTAGTAAGTCACTGTCAGTAACAGAGATTATGTACGTACACCAGAATGCAAAGGGAAGCAATCTGATACTCAGGGGTTTTTTTTAAATAGCTTTTTATTTTAAACTGGAATTAACTGGCAAAGGCTGTTCACTGTGCAGCTACACAAATACTTGCACTGGGATTTCAGACACAGCAGTACAGCTGCAGGAATGTCCACACCAGATACTTACTGGCTTAAAAAGAGTTTCTAGAATTTTGAGATTCGAAAGCCAAATACTATGTCTGTTATTATTTGAAGATGAGATTTGTATCCTTATTCCTACAAAATGTTGCAGAGTTGATACCACCATCCTATCAAACCACCTCCTTGAAATTTAAGGTATGGAAAGTACTCATGATCTGGGCTAAGTGATTTAGTCACAATGTTAAGTTATGTCTTGAATAGTGAAACTTCACGTCTGATCTCACAGTGCAACCAGAATGGAAAGTACACCAGACCGCCCTTGCTTGCCCACAACTTTAACACACAGATAAGAACTGGAGAGGATGTATTTGCAAGAACACTTAGACAATCGGCTAGGGCTTGCTGCAGGATTGGGCTGTTCCTCAGTCACTTCATTAGGATTTACAGAAACTTGCACCTCGCTGCACCGTGATCAAAACACTGGCTGCAATGCACTTCAGTAGGCTTCCACCGTATCACTAGTACAGCCCTCGGCTGAATAAAATTCTGTGGTCATCCTGGTGCCTCCTAAAGAATCGGACCAACTGCACAAAGCAGCCCCAATTGAAACAGATTATAGCAATAATAAAATACATAGCTGTATTAAACTGTTGGACTTCAGTATTGAAATGCTGGGAGCTGCAATGTGACTAAAATCAAGTGAACTGGCAGTTTCTTTCTAAGCTTTCTTTAGAGATCCTTTATTCCAACCCAGTTAACTGGAGCAGGCAACACGGCACGCTGGCTGCAATACTGCTGCCTCACAAGCAGTTAGTGCAAAACTCACCCAGAACCTCACCAGATTTCACATAAAACATGTAAGAGTTTAGATGGAAGGCTCCTGACTTCCCTAAGTCACTGAAATGGACTTGTACAACTGAACTTACACAAGACAGCTGAGGTCTGCCAAGTCATCAATGAAGTCAAACAACTGGCTGATATCATACGTAATGGACGGACTGTTGGGATTCATTCTCTTCAGATGCTCTTCGTACATTTTACAGACTCCTACAGGGAAACAAGATTAACAATGCCCTGTTACAAACCCAACAACTGTATTTGCTGAAACCTCTTCAGCTACTGAACCACAGGTATCAGAAAAGTTTAGAGATGACTACTGTGAAAACAGAGACACAAACTTTTTACTCAGACTTTGCAGAGCTGAAATGCTTTTGTTCTAGCTGTCTGCATTGAAACATAACACTATAAAATCAGGTAAGACGCATGGAAAGAAGCATCATCATCATCTAGAGGAGAAAGTTTTAGTTCTGTCAAAGATGTAACTTTTCAAGCAGGAGGCTCCAAGGGAAACCTGAAACTCCTTCTAATAATTTTAAGACAGCAATTGCAACAATCATTCTTACTGTACAAAAACCTGAGAAAGAGCTCATGTCAAATAAAGCTACTCAAATCTCATAGGAAAGATCATTCTTCCAGAAAGACTCACACAGCGCTACAGACGTAAGAGTGCCAGGACAGGCCTGTACGTGAATTTAAATCAGTTTTAGTTAAGCTAGCCCATAAATAATTCAGATACATTTGAGAAGAATATAATATTAAAGCTAGCACTGAGGCTTTACATGGTCTTTATTATGCTCTTGTTTGCCTGGAAATGGAATTTTTAATGTTAAGTGAACTTCCACATACAAATCACACAGCTGTAGCTTTTCAATCTTCTGTCCCAGCTCACTGTGTGCCTCTTAAAGTCACGCAGGATTTTTCCTCTGGCACACATGCCATAAGGCTGCAAATTATGTACCAACTGCACACATACATACTTTTATTTTACGTATTATTTCCAGTAGCAATCCCTCCTTCACATGGTTAGCACAGAAATTAGTGAGAAAGTTAGGCTCTGATCCTGCAGCAAAATGCAGTCAGGCAAGTCTGCTGCATGGCCCCACCAAGAATAAATACTGTCTACTCTCACGAACTGAATGTGGTTCAATCTGGTTAAATCAAAAAGAGACAATATAAAAAGGAGGTTTTAGAAACAAAGAATAATATTTTTTAGTGCCAAAACACAAGCAAACTAAAAGAATGAGACATTTTTGCATTTTTTTTGGTGGATTACCTTGGGAAAACATGAACAGCAACTTATTTTCTTATTAAGTTTGGGAATATGGCAAAAATGGGTTTTAACAACAGTTTTCGACTACCATGTCTGCACCCACCTTCCATGCACTCATTCACCGATTCATAATCAGCGTATGTTCTGCCTTCTGGCCTCTTGGTAGGCTGGACAAGTAGAATTGTGTGAGACTGAGAAATAAAACAAACACCAAGAAAACAGGTTACTTGCAAAATTTGAATTATTTTTTTGTTTGAATTAAGTTATTTATCTGAATGAAGCACTAAAAAGAAGCAGAATATTAAAACACTGAACTAGCAATCAAGGACACAGACACTTTCCAAGTAGCATTTACTGTTCATATAAGCCGTGTTAATAATTTTTGTTTCCAATCGGTCCTATCAATCCTTAGGTAACTTTAAAACAAGTAAAATCACCTGTAAAGCAGCTACCGTGTTGTATTTTCTTTATTTTGGTTTTCGTACTGTATTTTATTCCAAATGCAAGCTGACAGTAAGGTTTTAAATACCCCAAGTAAAGAGCAAGGAGAGACTCCAGCTCAACTTCACTGCCAATCTCACCTTAACGACTTTAACAGAAATACCTATTTTGAGTTATTCATTTAACTTCAAGGAAACACAAATGATACAACAAATCTGCACTTAGTATTCAAGATTCTTTCCTGCAAAACAGATGCACTGGTTTTTCATCCTTCGGTGAGCCTACGGAAACAGCAATTACGCACAGACAACTGTTCCAAACGTCAGTCTGTGAGCCTGTGCTTAGACGACTGTACAGTCTGTGGCTTGCGTTGTAGCTGTAATATTTTTCACTTGGCTACAGCAAGTAATTTGAGCAAACAAGCAGCAAGATTTTTGAAGTGCACACAATCTGTGATCTAATTAACAGGTTCCACAGCACAGAAAGTTTGCAAGCACGCTACAACACACCATTTCCAGTGCTGCTAACTGGTTCCAACATTTTCAGTGCTAATATATGAGGTGAGCACCCGACATGTAATATTCATGGAGGCAACTGCAGACTATGATATACTGGAAACCAATACCAAAGCGTATTATTGGGTTTAATCAGCTGCTGATGGAAAAATCCTAATCCACAATTTGGACATAGCAGTGAAGATACCAGTTCAGTGTACATCAAATGCAGCGACAGAAAGGAACAATGGCAAATATTAGGATTTACAAGGAGCATATAAGAAAATGGTACAAATTTTTGTACCGTGACTGACAGTGTTCCCATGCCTGGAATAGCGTTTTCAGTTCTTTAAATTCTGTCTCAAGTAACACGGCAGAAGGAGATACAGAGAACCCCAGGAAAAAATGATAAAGAAACGGAAGCAGCAAGACTTTTCCCAATCAGAAATGGAAAAAGAGGGGAGTCCAGAGCCACGTACTGCAACAAAAATCACACAAAGGAGACTAGACCATTTAAGTCTGCTTTCATGTGTGCCAGAGGACGCTAGGTTTGAAAGGAATTCCCCAAGGAAGGCTGGTATCTGGCTGTTCCCAAGTGTATTGTACTTGAACAGGCGTGTCTTACCAGGGAGTCCAAGTGGTTGCCAAACTTTATTATAAAATGCTTTTTCCAGAACTATCATTTTTATTTGCTGGTCACTGATGACAAGACTTGATTCTGGGACTTGCAGCTCTGACTTCCTAGGATCATCTGACTCAAGATTCCTCAGTAACAGCACCCGATGAGGTGTGTGGGCCAGTTTAGTCAGAGTGTTCTAAACAAAGCTGCATTATTTGAGCATCAGGATGTCTTGCAAACTAAATTTCTGGTGTCTGATTACATATACATAGTACTTCTTTCAACTAAACTCAGTATTAAAAAATAGTTGTGTTTGTTTGACAAACCCTAAGAAAGCTGAGCTGACCAGAAGCTACAGAACTGTGCTGCAACGGTGTGAATTCTGTGTTTGGTCTCTCAGTATCTTGCTGGGGAATCATTTTAGGCCTATAAATACCCAGGCTACACCTCCCATTCTTTGAGTGTTAATGAATGTATATATTTTGAATTATCCCAATAATCAGATTATAGAAAAAAATATCAGTGAGCCAGATACGTAAGCCAGTTCTTTCAGAACCTTGCAGTAGAAACTATTTGGGCTTCTGACTTTACACTGTTTATCGCTTCAGACACTTTACAATATCCTTATCAGATACTGGCCTGGAAATTATTAAAATGAATGCCATTGGGACCATCCATATTATAGAATTAATGCATTACATCTCCAGTATTTCTTTGGGACCCTCCCATTATTTTACCTTAAGTGGGGAAAAAAAAAAAGGTTTGATTTGATAAAATTGCTCCTCCTCTCCTACCATATAAGTACAAAAAAGTGACAAGTTCAGAAGCCTGAGAGAAATTTCCTTCAACTATTACATGCCCTACTGAATATGTCCCTAGGTGACAGGGCACGCATCAGTGTGAGTGAGAACTATTATGTTTTCCTATAGGTATAAAACTTGTTAGGAAGAAGAAAACCAAAACAAGGGAAGATCCATAAACCTCCATGTGTTAGGACCAGGTTATCTGGAAGAGCCCAATATAGACTCTTATTATTCTGACACGTATGTTAAATTTTCTTGCATTTTTGTTAAAAGCACAGTGGGTACTGACTGCTGTTAGTCAGGACACTGAATGAGATACCACGTGGTTTATATTACACCAGTTTCGAACTTCTAGAGAGCACTGTAGAAAGTGCTCCAGTTATGAAGACACAACCCTGTAAAAACGGTTAAGGCAGCGCTGACAGCCAAACCTGCAGGACTTAGGAGCTAGGCAGCGTCTGCCCAGAGGTTTCCACGAACTGCAGTCTATTCAACAATAAAGTAAAAAAAAAAAAAA